CGGGCGGCGGGGCCTGTGGCCGCACGTGGTGGCTCTTCCGCACACGGCGAGGCCGCCCGGTGCGCTGCGGGCCCGGGGATGCGAGAAAGAAGGGGCCGTCTGTCCCCTGCTGGAGGTGGCCTCGTGGCGAGCGTCCTTGGCAGCAAGCACCTGCGCAGGGGGTGGCTGGAGTGGGAGGCGGAGTAGAGGCAGCGGGAAGTAGAGGTGGCATCTGTGCAGCAGCCTCTCAGACCCTTTGAATTATGCGTCCTGCCGTTGTGTAAATATCTACACGTCTATACGGCGCTTAATGCGATAGGCGTATTCTGAAGGTAAGAGACGAGATTGAAAGAGCCTGCCTGGAACCCAGGGTTTACTGCATTGGACATGATTTTAAGTGGACTCACGGCCACGCCTGCTGTCCAGCTAACCCCAGGTCGGTTGCGTGATGTCATTACATCTGGGTTGTAGAAAGTGTTAGGAGGCATGTACAGGTCAGCCTTTCTCAACGGACCCCACTTAGCTGTGTCATCAGGCTCCCCCGTCACCTGGTCGGATGCCCTCCTGCCCTACCAGGAGGTAGCTGTGGGCACCAGACTTGGTTGCTTCCACCACCTGGTCCGTACTTCGAGGAGCTGTTTGCGTTTGCGGTATTTGTTTGCTGTCATCACTGTGCACCTGAGTAAATGCCAGAGGTAGACGGTGCGGTGAGCTGTAGCAGGGTCGTGTCCATGGTGACTAGGTCGCGTACCGTGGGGTAACTTTTATGTGTCCAAGAAGGTGAGGGAGTTGCAAACTGTTAAGAAATAGTGAGTCCGCGACTCTGTGCTTAAGTGCTTCCTCAAGGTGTACGATTTCCTGTCGTTCAACCTTTTCTGGTAAAGGCAGTGACCAGGTCACAAACTGTATGCCGTGTCCTGCAGAGTTAGGGATGAGATGCTGTCTGGTGAGCAGAGCTCTGCTGAAGAAGCCTGAGGGCTGTGGCCTTGGAGGCTGGCCACACAGAGCCAGCGGTCGGCAAGCAGGGTGCCTGGTGGGCGGAGGGTGGGTTGGACACCTGGCTGTCACCAACACTGCTTCTTGCAGACCGCCCTCGTCTCTGCGTCGGCTGCCAGCCTCCGGGATGGCAGTGATTCTGGCCTGTCTGAGAGCGAGGAGAGCGTGTTCTCAGGCCTGCAGGATTCCGGCAGCGACAGTAGTGAGGATGACCCAGCCGAGGGAGAGGATGGGGCCAGCGGTGATGACAGCCACAGCAGGATGGAGGAGACCTCTGGGCAGCAGGTGCAGGTGGGTGAGTGAGGAGCCTCCTGGTGGGCCCTTCTGGCATGAAGGTGGCCAGGAAAGAAAGCGACCCCCAGGCCTCGGGCTCTCAGCGTCCTCACTGCTGTTTTCGAGCTTCCTGGTTGGAGCTGGAGTGCTCTGAGTCGGGTGCTGTTTTTCACAGTTATGCGCTCTGTTCTCAGGAACTCGAAAAGTCCACCTCCCTGGGCCTCCCCCTCAGATGATTCTGATGTCACCTTTCCATAGGACTCAGCTCTCTCTGCTAGACTCAGTAGTAGCCTGGGTTTCCCAGGGGCAAAGCCTGAGGTGGGGATTCATGCGCAGGAGACTGTCTGGCGGGGAGCTCCCAGGACACACATGAGGGAGCCGGCCCGACAGGAGCGCCATTCCACTCGAGCCCGGCCCCAGAGAGCCTTGCTGGTTGACGCTTCGGCATCGTGCCCACCCCTGTGGTGATGGGGAAGGGGTACTTCGGCTCTTGTCTCAAGCGAGAAAAATGAGAGAAAAGCTTAAACTAAAATATGACATTAGCTGTTTGGAGTGTTTTCGTTACTGGTTTTAAAAGTTTATTTATTTTGAGAGAGAGACTATCACAAGTGGGCTCCCTGCTGTCAGCACTGAGCCCCAGGTGGGGCTCGAACTCACGACCCTGAGATCAGGACCTGAGCCGAAATCAAGAGTCAGACACTCAACGGACAGCCACCCTGGCGCCCCTGGAATGTTGTAGAAAGTAGTTTATAACTATATTTCCAGTGGGTCTGGTGTTCTGGAAGTTACGACTTTGAATCATACAGAAGTCCACCCCCATAATAGAAACCAAAAAGCCGTGCTTGTTCTGTTTCCTAGGAAGAAAAGATTTAAAGTCACATTTCAACCTTCCACTCACTCAAGCCTTAGTTGTAATGCTGGTGTGCAGGGAGAGATGTGTTTACTGTACTGACCATGGTTTGTAGGGTGATGGCCAACTATTTTTCCCTCTTTTTAACTTTATAAAATTATAAAATAGGGGCGCCTGGGTGGCTCCGTCCGTTAAGCATCTGACTTTTGCTTGGGTCATGATCTCATGGTTTGTGAGTTCAAGCCCCGTTTGGGGCTCTGTGCTGACAGCGTGGAGCCTGCCCCAGATCCCCTGTCCCCTCTCTCCCTGCCCCTCCCCTGTTTGAGCATTGTGCGTGTCCTCTCTCAAAGATATATAAACATTTAAAAACATTACAAAATACACTTTCTTGACAAAAATTAAATGTTTTCTCAGCACTGTTCGGTACAGAGTGGGAGTTCTCATTCCATGCCTTTGCTGTGGTTCGTGACCACAGCTAACAGTTTCATCACCTTCCCGTGTCTTTTCTCCCCCTTTTAAAATTAAGGGTCCACACACTGACATATTTATTTAATTTAATTAATTAACGTATTTTTTAAGTAGGTTACACACCCAACGTGGGGCTTGAACTCATGACCCTGAGATCAAGTCACATGTTCTACAGATAGAGCCAGCTAGGTGCCCCAATTTTTTTTTTGAAAGAAAATTTTTTAAAGTGTATTTTTACTTGAGGGAGGGAGGGAAAGAGAGAGAGAGAGAGAGGGAGCCCATGCGCATGCAAGTTGGGGAGGGGCAGAGAGAGAAGGAAAGAGGACCCAAATTAGGCTCCGTGCTTACAGCACAGAGCCTGACGCAGGGCTCGAACTCAACTGTGAGATCATCAACTAAGCTGAAGTCAGATGATTAACCGACGGAGCCACCCGGGCGTCCCCCCGTTTTTTTTTTTTTTTTTTTTACAAAGGGTTTTTTGTCTTTGTTTATGAACAGAATTTTAAAAGTAATTTTTAAAAGTTAACTAACTTTTGGGGCACTTGGCTGACTCAGTCAATAGAGAGCACACAGTCTTGATCTAGGTCCTGAGTTCAAGCCCTGTGTTGGGTGTGGAGCCTACTTAAAAAAAATTAAGTAACTTTTTTAATAAACGTTTCTTTCTTTTTTTTTTTTTAACCTTTATTAATTTTTG